AGTTCATATAAAACTGATGTGATGAAAGTGTGAACACATTTTTTTGTTCATATTGGACTTGAAAGACAGAAAAAGTGTTTTTCCATTAAAAAGACATGGAGATAAACAAGTAAGATCTTACTAATTGATGTCAGACAAATGCTTTTAGCACCACATCCTTTTAATTAAATCGACTTTTTTTTTTTTTTTACATGTTCAAATATTGATATCCACCACCATGCTAGAAGAGGAGCTCCAGTCTACAAAAAGCAGCACTCAAAAACAAGAAGTAGATAGATACAGTTTATAATGACAGTGTTACATTTCCTTTTATTAAAAATAAATCAGGACAGAAACATAAGCAGCAGCAAAATAAACATTTTCTTGGTCCAGAATATGACTTAATAAAAGTTTGTGCTTTGGGATTCAGCTGATGAGCATTTTATAAATCATAAATGAACATTTAGTAAATATTTCTAGATAAACCCATACACATATACATCTGTACATACATATAGCAGGAAATGATTTTAAACACAAAAACAAATATTGTGCACATACCTTTAAGAGTTATTGACAAAGGCTAACAATTGCACATGTTGGTTGTATATGCATGTACTGTATATAGTGCAAGAAGTCATGTGTATTTGTATAAAAATGAGCACTCAATAGAAAGGTCATATAGAAAACCAGGATGCAAACATAAACCATGTAGGCCTAGCTCAATCAAACTGACAAAGGATCTCAAAATGTGGATGAATTAAAGGGTCATATTTAGGAAGCAGCAAAATGGACATTCACCAAGTATTTATTGCAGGTGAATCAATCACTGTATTTTTTACAAATACACCAGGAAGATACACCTGCAAAGAATATATGGTGAATGTCACATTTGATGCTTTATAAATATACCCAAAAAGTATCTATTGCCCAAAACAACTAATATTTTTTCTTTAACTTTCAAACGTAAAGTAACTTTTTTATTGGTTGCTTCAGGCAACAGACCCTTGTTATGGTCATGACAGCTGCAATAAAATCTTGTCCATATCCATCACATTCCACATAGATAACTGCAATATAAAATCATCTTCGATTCGGTGAAGCACTTCAGAGTGCATGTATATTTTGGGCAAGAATATGGGAGGATTAAAACCCCTTTCATGTTATTTGTGCTGTCTGTGTCCTACTGGGTAGATTTTTTTCTCACTTTCTGAAATCTCACCAAAATAAAAGAGATTTCTATCTTATTGGATTCTTCCTCCCTTCTGTCTCAGTAACAATGGTCAATAGAACAAATAGAGGAAGAATTTCCCCAATGGGGACAAAGGCCCCAATAAAAATCTGCCATGGAGTTCTAACCCCACAAAATAAAAAATATATATTTATAGCTTGCCATTACATACACTGTAAGCATTGAAGGAGCAAAGCCTGGTGATTTTCTGTGTTAGCACAGAATGTAGCTACTTCCATAGTAAACACGTGACAGGTACATATTAAGGCAGCAGCCATTTGCAAACACTGAACTGTAATCTGCAGTTTTGTTGGGTAACAGAAAAGCTACAGCTGTGTGACTATGAAAAGAACGACTCATGGTCTATTCAAGTCACATCTCAGTGACCTAGTAACAAATGCATCTTTGCTTAATTGAAAGCTGAAGCAACAGCTTCAAAATATTTTTTTTTCTCTCAGAAAAATTACCTTTATTCTTTTGGTCGATTGAAAGTGCACTTTTTACATTTTTTAATACAGATAACAAAATATATGAAACATTGGCAACATATCTTTGTTCAGGACATATTTAAAGAGAACATTTTACATTAATAAATCACACCTTACCAACTGCTTAATGCACTATGTAAATGGATAAAAATACCATGCATGTTGAACATCGATTCTGCTTGGAAGGGGGCACAAAGGAAACCTGTTACAAGAGAAGTACTTAGGCTGTGATTGCTGACCTGCTTCTGGAAAACAGATTGCCTGGTATTTTGTGGTCACTGACGGAGAATGGCGATCAGGAGTTCTGACTTCAGAGACTGAAACAACTGAAGCCAAAAGGATCAAAATGACAACCAACTAACTAGGTTTTTCAGAAGACTGTCCACAATGGTAGTCCAGAGAGGTTATTTTTTTTTTTTTTAATTTGTTTACGGTCTCTTCAAAATGCCCATACTCCATATATAGAATAGATGATGAAAACAAACTTTTTTCCAAAGCCCCTTATTATTACGCAAAACTCACAGAAAACTGTTGATTTTGCTTATTTCTATAGTGCATTAGGCATTATGTAAAGCAGTACTGACGTGAACCTGTCCACCATACTGACTCTCTAAAGGTTTTAAATAGTCACATGCCTTTTATTACCCAAAGTCTCCAGAAAAGTCCCTTCCCATATGTGAGAATATTTCCATTTTGCTATGGAAGCCTCAGCTTCTCAGCGTGTGCCCCCCTTTCTTTAGTTGTTTAGTCCCACCCATGCTCTTGCCCTACATCCAATCAAACTTCTCTTATTAGCAAAAAAGGCACTGTTATTACACAGGGGGCTGATGGGTGAATGAAGCTTAGTGCTGCTAATACATATTGCTCAAGAATTTGAGACCTCTATAGAAAAATGAATGTAATCACTCACTGGGCACAGGTGTGGTTTCTAAACATAGGAAATAACAGCAGGCACCTTATTTTCTTTGTTGGCAATTTTAGACGGAGTGGAGGAAACGTTCACTTCAAGAAACTATTTCTATTTAATGTCTTGCTTTCACATAAAGCAGTAATATGTTATACATGTCTCCCACTAAATGTTAGAAGTAGATTCATTTCTTCTATAAAGATTGAGAGAAAGGACAGTATTACGTTATAAGCCCCATAAAAGAGGAATGCAATAAGGCACAACCTAAGCTAAATATTACAGTAAGGCCCCTCTTTAGGAATACAACAAAAAAATATAAACCCAGGAATGCATAGAAGTTACCCAAGATCGATATACTTAACACCTAAACTATTTGTCTCTTTTTTATATAGATATAATGTTATACTCAAAGATGTTATATCAGGTATAGAAACCGTAACTGTAATCATTTATAATCCTAAAGCGTAAAACAGAATTACAGTCAATATTAAACACTCCTACCTTGCCCACCGAGCAACCTTCTAAGTTTAACACTTCTTCAGTTTAAGAAGGTATATTAGATAACAATACTCACCTTATTCTATGTTCTATGGCAGCTAATGCAATCCTGCTCTGAAATGTAGGCTGGCACTGGACATCATTACGTACAATGCACGACCAGGCTGCTGGTTCTCCACCATACATGACAATGTTGGTAACACAACTGGAGCAGAGGAGCAGCTTGGTGGACCTGTTATCATTACCAGAAACAGGAAGGAGGAAGCCTGCAGGACTACAGAAAAAGGTAAGGATTCCTCTGTATTGGAGCCCCCCCCCCCTACATTAAACAAGCATTGTATTCTGCATATACAGGAAGGGAGAGAGCTAAATTATCAATATTTTTTTTTTGGGCTATCCAATAGAAGGCATGACATACTTGGCTATGTGACCCTTTACATTTAATAGGATAGGGTGGGCAGGGTAGCAAGAGGTTCTTACTAGACTATAGTTCTGCTTTAAAGTACAATAGGAACACCACAGATTCAGGGTCACTTCTATCTTGTAAATTTGCACTGATATATTGACAATATTAAGTAACTTTAGAAGTAAATCCCCAATAATACAATTTCGTAAAGTAAAAAAAGACATGTACGTGTTGCATTGACATTCTCTATAAAAATACTTTTGTTTTGCTGTGAAGGCAAAAAGCTATTATCATAGCTGTAGATCTAAAGTGCAGAGCATGTACTACAGACCAGACATCACGGCTCGCTGTGCCCACGACAAGATGCAACTGGTCTACTTTACATGGCATTGGAAATGTATGAAGGGGTTTGTGGGTGCAATCTTGGGTGGTAAACAGTCGAGTATATTTTGTACAAATAGGTGGCATTTCTGGAAAAGCTGCGGTTTAAGATGGTAGCGTCTGCTGGAGGCAGGAAAGGCAGGTAATTTTGCTGTTACTTCTGCTTTTTCTTCTCAAGTGGTGCGCCAATGGCGGATTCTGTGGAACGACGGGTAGAATTACCCATGCGGTTTGTAGCCTGTAGTGAAAGGGAAACACATGGACAGAAAAAGGGTTAGAAGTGATAGCGCTCTGGTAGCATTACACAGGTGTCACATTAACACGGAAAACTTTGCGCACCCCAATGGAGGCGATTCATAGTACTCCATATATAGCATGGCTGTAAGCCCTACCAATCTCTCCATTTTCTGGAATGCCAACCTCATTCCTGTTACAATTTAAGCGAACGAAATCAAGTCAGATTTTGCTCTGTCCAGTTTGATCCTGCAGATACACCTCAGTCAAATCCTACACATATGCCGAATGCTCTCAAAGTTGAGTGTTTTAAAGGTATTTAAGAAGCATGTAGGTGTTTATTGTACTGCAGCTAAAAGAAAATGATTTCATGGTAAATAATGTTTATGGACAGAACCAGTATAGCCAGCATAAAATGCCTGGTGTCAGAGAAAACTGACAGGAATTGACAGATACAGATTGCAGAAGAGGTGAGAGAGCTGTCAGGATCCACAGTAGGTGCTATGGATTAAGGCAAGTATACTTTATGTGAGGATGTGCTTTGTTCATCTGGGATTTCAAAGGTCTACAACCATTTTAAAGCTGACTTCTAGGCAGATTTATAATAAAGGTTCATGCAGAGACGCATTCATTAAAATTATGAAGTGAATTTTAAAAGCAAATTGTTTTATGTGGCTTCCATTTGAGACTTTAACTTGTGATAATAATAAATCCACCAAGGCAACCACTGAAAGAATATATATACAGTATATTACAGGCATAGAGCAGTGCATTGGTTGGGCCACAGAGCTATTAGACAAGTATAATATACACAAAGTTACCCTAACTTTTCTATTTAAATGTTTTCTTTAATGCTAGAAAACAACACACACAACCTCATTGTATTACCTGCTCAAGAACATAATCCGCACTGGAATCGATAACTTTGCCAAGGTCTCTGTACTGTCCAGAGTATTTGATGTAGCCCCATGTGAGAAGTGCAATGAGCAGTAGCCCCATGGCACAGTTAAACAGTTGTGCCACCACACTTAAACCGACAAATCCTGTGATACCAGAAGCCATGTATAATGCAGCCACCAGGGCTAGAAGTACAGCGGGAGTGCGGAAGGCTGTGAAGATATTCTTGCTTTCATTGTGCTTGCAAAAAGCAGTATATATGTCATCAAGGTCCTTCTCCAACTCTTCTCTGTATTGCTTGCTGAACTCCACTCCTCCCATTTTCTTTGCACGGTCAAACTGAGACAGGGCTTCGTCCCTACAGGCAGCATCTCTATCTCTCAGGACATCTGGTGACACATATGGTTTGTCACCACCACAAATCTATAACAAGGAACACAGGAGAGCCAAAGAATCATATGAGTTATAAAGTGAAATGTATCTTAGCCAAAAAAGCAACCAATTACAGTTATTTTAAAATGACTATGAATTGCTAAAATCTGAAATGTTATTAGTTAAAATTTGCAGGAAGTGAAGGGAAATCTCCGCAATGGGACCCAGACGGTGAAAAAAAATTCTGACAGGGTTCTAGCCCTCCCTTACTCTATCCAAAATGAAAAAAGAAAAAAAAAAAAGAAAAAAAAGAAGGTTTGCCTATAGTTCTACTTTAAGCTTCTTGAAAGTAAAAAAACTCCTGTGAATACCACCCTCCTCCCAACCGCTCCAAAAAAGGAAAACAGAAATAAGGTAAGAGGATGGTTAGGCATACACAGGATTTGATGATGGCTGGTGACAATAGTAAGGACACACACATCCACTCACCTTCTCCATGCTGCTGTTGTACAAGTCTTTGGCAGAAGCCACCGCTGCCAGGTTATTGGCCTCAGCAGTTGCCTGAGCAAAGATATGAAAATATTAACTCAGAAGAATTCATAAAAGAATGATGTTGTGAAAGGTAAATAAAACCCTACATACCTGTAGCATAGATTTGGGATGATGTGGTAAATCTTCTCCTTGGTATATTTTTATGTAAGCCTACAAAACAAAGCCTCGGTAACCAAGTGGACTTACACAAAATCAGATTTAACAGTGTTGTAATTAAACCTATTCTTCGCAAGGCAGCAACATAATGACATATTGATTGGTTTACAAGAGCATATTAAAAAAGGTCACCGTTTACGAAGGATGCAGTTTTATAAAGTTATCTTCTTGATACAATGACACAACTAATAAAAATGATGAGCCTTCAGATGTCTTCTTTAAGGCAGGTCATAGATGGAACTAAGTTTTTTGCTCAATTCCTCCATCAACACAGACAGTGTTGACAGGGGAATCCCTCCTATCAAGCCACTGCGTTCTTCCGGCCGGGAGGCAGGGGCGCCCTCCCCACCAGGAAAACACAATGATTATTGCTAGCAGCTATAACAGCTGCTAGTGATAATCACATTTAAAGTCCATCAAGCTGGTTGTACCCAGGTTGGTCAATCAATCAACTTGGGTAAATTCAGCCTGCCCATATATGGCTCCAATCTCGGACAGGACCTGCTGAACTGGTCAAGAATCGAACTGTCTATCGCCAGCATAAGTCTTGAATCTCTCTGTGGTTATTATGCTTTCATAAACAGCAAAAGAACAGTACTCAAGGTTGGAATGGTGTCTTTTGTTCAAACTAACAAATCATAACAGGAGCCAGACATGTTATATACTTAAAAGATGGGTGGGCGATTCTTAAGGCTGATGGGTTAAAATGTTTCCTTTGCAATCCATTATTTCCCTTCCAGATTGCTCTTAAAATACCAATATAGGGGGCTGAAACAGACTGGAAATAAAAATGTCCAGAAGTGGAGAATTGGGGTAAGGAGCTAGGCAGCAAAATACTGTCTTTATTCCATTTATCCCATGTGCTTGAACTGCATTTCCTAATAACAAGCAATATTATAATACACTGAAGATCACTATTTTGGTAAGGACACATTTTTTAAAGTTAATATTTTGTAAAGGACACCAGGAATGTGTCCTGGACGGCAGGTACATTTTTCTGGTATTTGAGTTGTGGTCCCTTTGAGGGGGCCGGTTTTGGAGACATTGCTGGGTACTTAGAAGTTCTCACCCATACAGGGGGAGGTGTTTCAGGGGAGTTTGGCTAGAAAGGGCTGTTTTTCAAGACCCTCTGGACTGTTAAGTCTGTATTGGGGACCTGGAATTTCGGTGGTTCGAAACGTTTTGGGAGGGAAGAACCTTCAAACCCTGATTACCTGGACTTTGGTCCTGTAGGGGTTAACCCGAGTGTCTCAGTCCAGAAAAGGAAGAAGGAACAGTCAGCTTCTGGAAGTGAGAGCATGAGCTAGACATGAGCTAGACACATGTGAACAGGGTGGACTGAGCAATAGTGACTGAGTTGTGGAAACCTCCTCCTTCGGGCGTCTGAATCCAACGGGAAACCCCAAAACCACAGAGTGGAACTGGTATGGTGGTGGTGCACCTTGAACTAGTTTGGTAGCTCTGAACCAGAGTATGGACTATTTTGTATTGTTTGTTTGCTGAAGATAAGCTGTATTTTTTCTGTTGGCCTGTTTTTGCAAATAAAAGGACTGCTTGCTTTTACCAGCATAGCTGTCAGATGATCCCGGGCTACCTCATATCACATGTATGTATTAAACCAGTTTGCACAGTAACATTTCCATCATTTACTTTAGATATAATTTTACTGATAACAATGACTTCTATTCTTTACAGCAGGATAAGCGCTCTCTAAAACCTTTGAGTACTACGTATGGAAAAGGTAGCGACATTCTGAAAAGTAGTAAATATACAAGAGCTGTAACTGTTTTAACGTGAAACACCCACAAACTTGGAACAAGATGATATAAAGAGAGAAACTTACCTTGAAATACTCAAGCAGTCCTCGGCAAGTCACCTTTGCACCATTTATCTCTTTCTCCATAAGGCTGCTAGGTTCAAGAACAAGTGGCACCAGAGCACTCAGCTGCTCTGTAAACTCAGGAGCAATGTCTATGGCAAACACAAGACAAAAAATATAAAGTACTGTACATCAGCAAACTATAGAATAGTTAAAGTGTATGTAAAGGCAAAAAGTTTATTTTTGTTTGTGGATAGAGAAGGGTAAGATTCTCTGTCAAATTTTATTGTAGTTTAAGTTCCTGCTGGGGAAGATTCACCCTTCTAATTGTGAGCTGAAAGACAGCAAAAACAATGCTATCTTTCATGTGTCAACTACCAAGAAATGAAGATGAGCAAAGGCAGACATATTTAAAGTCCACGCAATATTGACAAAGGATTCCAAGTGCTAAGTCCCAAACACCGTGTATGACAATAAATCCTTGGCAGCCATTGTAAACACTTAAACACACAGCATGAAAGGGCAGAAGAAAACAGTGCTCAGGGTCATAATTAGAAGTGGTATCCAAATAGAAAATCCTTCCAGAAAGTACTGTAGGAAAGTCAATTATCATGGACCCAAAGGTTTCTATAAATTTTATTTCAATGCATTAAGACAATATTAAAATCAGAAATGTGCACCACTCCGTGGCTATGGTGGAACATCTGCCAATCCTGAATAGACCGATAGATAGGAACCAGCAGCCAAAGTGTACAGGGGACCGTTCACCTGGACATGGAGATGGTCTGTCATGAGCGGATGCCATGGCGCACCAGAACTGATGTCACCAAGATCCTGGGAGGAAACCGGACACTAGCCACGAGAGGCCAAGTTGGAACGCAAACAGGCTGCCATGACAACGCGTTTCACGTGCATACATGTTATCAAGTCATGACTTGATAAAGCACATGCACGCGAAATGTGGGTTCATGTCCATAGGTCCATTCAGGATTGGCAGATGTTCCACCATAGCCATGGAATGTGGTAATTTGGTAGAAATAAAGTGCATATTTCTGATTTTAAAATTGTCTTAATGGAAATAAACTCTATAGAAACCTATGGGTCCATGATGGTGTGACTTTCCCATAGTAAATTCTGGAAGGATTTTCTATTTGGATTCCACTTCTAATTATGACCTTGAGCGCTGTTTTCTTCTGACCTTTTATATGTAAAATCCAGCCTATCTTACAACCATGGCTGCCTCCACAGACACAGTGGAGGAGTGAGTGTAGCCACGAAGAGACAGGAAGTGTGTTATTCACAGGATTGCCAGGTGAAAATAAAGGGGGAAAGCATGAAAAAAAAAATGCAGCCAGGTTAAGATTTGTTTTAAGGATGCCAGTCACACACTGCTTGAAGAACATTATTAGGTGACTAGCTCCATCATTCTACAGAGGTATTTTACATAGTTAGTCTGGCTGAAAAAAGGCAAAAGTCCATCTAGTTCAACCATAATGAGTTGATCCAGAGGAAGGCAACCCCCCCCCCCCCCAGCAAAGCATGATCCAATTTGCTCCTGCAGGGGAAAAATTCCTTCCTGATCCCCCAAGAGGCAATCAGATATTCCCTGGATCAACTTTATTTAAAAATGTTATGTATCCAGTTATATTACGTACATTTAGGAAAGAATCCAGACCTTTTTTTAAAGCAATCTACTGAGCTGGTCAGAATCAGCTCTTGAGGGAGTCTATTCCACATTTTCACAGGTCTTACTGTGAAGACACCTTTCCGTATCCAGAGATGAAATCTTTTTTCCTCCAGATGTAAAGAGTGCCCCCTTGTCCTCTGTTATGACCACAGGGTGAATAACTCTACACCGAGTTCACTATATGAACCACTGATGTATTTATACATGTTGATCATATCCCCCCTTAATCTCCTCTTCTCAAGACAGAATACATTCAATTATTTTAATCTTTCCTCATAGTTGATCTCCTCCATGCCTCTTATCAGTTTGGTTGCCCTTCTCTGCACTTTCTCCAGTTACCCAATATTTTTCATGAATTGGTGCCAAAAACTGAACTGCATATGCCATATGAAGTATTACGGATAATTTGTTCAGGGGCAAAATGATATCTCTCTCTCTCTCTCTCTCTCTCTCTCTGGAGTCTTTACTTCTTTTAATACAAGAGAGGATTTTGCTCGCTTTAGAAACCGCAGCTTGGCATTGCATGCCATTATTAAGCTTGTGATCTACCAGAACTCCCAGATCCTTCTCCACCATTGATTCCCCCAGTTGTACCCCCCTAGTATGTATGATGCATGCATATTCTTAACCGGCAAGTGCATAACTTTACATTTATCAAAATTAAACCTCATTTGCTACATAGTTGCCCAACTAAACATTGTATTTGAGATCGGCTTGTAATTTGGAGACATCCTGTAAGGACATTATTCCACTGCACAGCTTGGTGTCATCTGCAAAGACTGAAATGGTATTTATAATCCCAGACCCTATATCCTTTATAAATATATTAAAAAGGGTCCCAACACTGAACCTTGGGGTACACCACCGACAACCCTAGACCATTCAGAGTATGAATCATTAACCACTACTCTCTGAATACGATCTTTTAGCCAGTTTTCTATCCATTTACATTTTATTTTGCTATACAGAAATCAATCAACTTCTCATGAACAGTCCAACTGGAAAATATTCATTTGATCAGCGCATGCTGTCAATGGGCTGCAATGCTGATCAGTATATTCTGATGGTGAGGGAGTCCTGCTGTCTGAATACAATACAATGGAGAATTCCAGCATCCATATCGAATGTGGGGAATTGGGTCAGTTTCTTTTTTTGTTAACCTGCTGGCTGAAGGAAAAAAAACTGACCCATGTATGGCCTGCTTAAAAGTAGAAGTTAGTGACCAAAATACAGACAGAGTTTAGTAGGATGATACCCCTACCACATTTCCAGTATGTACGTTAAAAGGCATTTACTTATAAAAATAAATTGTGAATGTACCATGAAACGGTCTTCTAAACTAAGGTTATTTGATCTCTGCTTCTTATTTCAAACATTGTGACCCAGAAAGAAGGTTTATTTCTAACATGTTTCAAGTTTAAAACCCCAGTGGCTACTTTGTTAGCCACTCCTGATCCTTAAAGTGAATGTAAAGGCAGATTTTTTTTTTTTAAAACACCAAACATGTTATACTTACCTGCTCTGTGCAGTGGTTTTCACTCCACTTGTCGAGTCCCCTGCCGGGGCTCCTGGCCCCTCTCTTCTGCAGAGTGCCCTCAAGGCAAGCAGATTGCTATGGGGGCTTCAGTGTCACTGCTCTGTGGGTTTATTTGCATACAGATGAGTCTCGGCCCCAACCCCTGCTCTCTGCTTATTGGCTCACTGGTCGTGATTGACAGTAAAACCTTGAGCCTTCGCAACGACTTAAAATGAAATAGTAAACTACGTGGATGATACTGAATACATAAAGGATGAAGACATAGTTAAGAGGCTTATGTAGTGTGTGCCCAAGCAATAGAAGTGACTGTTGATGCCAGGCTAGGCCTTCAAAATATCTCAGAAACTGCAAAATCTAGGATTGTTATGAATTACTGTCTGTAAAATTTACAGAAAACAATGTGAAAGAAAAAACACCCAGTGAGTAGCATTTTTATCAATGGAAAAACCTTGTTGATTAAAGAAGTCACAGGAGAATAGACAGAATAGTTCAAGCTGACAGACGTTCATAACTCGAATAACCAGCCATTACAACAGTAGTGGGTAGAAGGATGACTCTTAACACTCCACAAGCCCAACTTGTTATCCAATTTATCTTGTGTATCTCAAGTGTGAGCAATGTTTTTCTGGTCCATAATACCAAATATCTGCTTGAACTGAATGACATTATTGCTACTATGTAAACATCTTTCTTGGTTTTTAGACAACTGTGCATGATAACGTGACCACAAAGTGTATGCAACAGAAAGAACTGTCCACTGCATATGGCTGTGACTGCACGCATGACCATCATGTTAAATCTTTGCATTACAAGCAACAAAATGACTGACCTTTCAGGCGGCCATCAAACTGAGGACTGGTTGCCACTTTTAGTCCGGGGTGTGGGAGAAGGAAGCAGCTGACATTGGTGAAACAGGAGTGAATGTGTTTGCGTACATTCTGGATCTCTTCATGCTGGTGTTCTTTTACCTGGAGAACAAAACTGTAGAATTTGCACCATTTTCTAAAAATTTAGCTTCATAGGGACTTGAAACTTCCCAAATATTCTACCAGTACCTGCTCAAAAATGAATGCACATGAGCTACAAACGTTTTCTACACAGTATGCTGAAATTCTCTGAACTAAGGCTTCTGGTACTGCAGAATGGGTAGAGGCCTCTTACAAAAAGGAATTACAGTTCCAAAAACTTTTTGATGTCTGGGAGTCTTTCATACAAACCTTATTCATAACTATTCAACAATCCTTAGAACGATGTTTCCAATACAACCAATGGTATCAAGCCAGACTCTTACCCAATGACCCTCCAAACTATATCCTACTTTCTGCTTGAATCAAAACAAACTTTGTATTTTGATAGCCGAGTACTCTCCCCCTTTCCCTCCACCTGCTTAAACCGACCACCATTCATCTAAATGTTTCCTTTCGATGCATACCTTTGGTCCCAGTACTGTTATTTCATTCTCAAGATATGCTAACAAACTGTACACTATCTTCTTTATATTGCCCTATGAGCCAAATGCTGCTTTGTTTGTTACTTGCATTCTTGGATCAAGTTTAAAAAAAAAAAAAAAAAAAAAATTCCATATACTGTAATAAATGTGGTGTGGAACCAGGTGATCTTGTACACTTCCTACGGAGATGCCCTAAATTGTTTAGGTACTGGAACGTTGTAATCAATCGTATCTTCAGTACTCTTATTAACTCCTCACTCACCTCTAAATTGGGTTACTTTGGATCACTGAACTTGGACTCACACACACGTTACTGGCAGAGACAAGATCCCTATATGCAGAAAGATAATACTACAGCTTAAACTAAAGTGGATCTCTAGGTACAGCCTTTGATGGAAGAGTGGGTCAAGGAACTTAAACCATTAGCATAAAAAATAAATTACACCTGAACAGAGAGGTACTACAAAGGTACTGCTTGGTATGGGACATATGGCATGAAGATGTGACTGGGGCCTCAACCTGGGCCATTGTTTCTTGATAAAGTCCTTGTAGAATGTCACATTCTAAATATGAACTGAATTTGAGGACTCTGCTGTTGAAGAGGTGCAACTAACCCAAGGTATCCTTTTTCTAATATTCAGATCGTTTAATGATGTATAGCAGAGTGCAATTTTTTTATCTGTTGTGTATGTGTTTTACTTTTAACATACTTTAAAGAAAAAAAAAACTTTTGAAAAATAAATTCAGAAAAAAAAAGACTTGGCAATAAAAGGATGAAGTATATGTCAACTACTGAAATCACTGAAAAATAAATACTTCAAGCACCACACATCTGTTAAAAACTGCAGACAATGACATAAATGCTACAGTGTACAAACAAAGGATAATAAAGATTATTTGATCAATTTGGTTTTTTTTTTATTAAGAACTTAGTGTTACTAAACCCAGGACCCTGCATTCACTATATCTGGTCTCCCACAGTAAAGACAACATGGAAATGCAATTATTTTAGTAAATATAAACTGCTAAATACCTTTTCTCATCAGCAATATATAGCAGTCTTGTGACTTCTATCAGTGTCTGGCCAAGCACTGGTTAAAATTTGAAGGGGGTTTTCATTCTGCTGTCCTATGAGGCTGCGCGACCCTGACCCTCTGTCTGGACAGAGCTAATTGGCCCTGTGCTGATCACGTACATCATCCCAAAGAAAAAAATAATCTCTAGCAATACACACTAAACCTAGCATGTGCAGAGTGACTTCTAGAGGTCTGTACTATCAGCAGATGGATTGGGGACATTAGAAGAAAGGGAGGATCAAAGAAGACAGGCTCAAACAGCCTTTGTACACAATGTGGAGGATTAACCCCTTAGGTTCTACAGTGAGTATAACACGCATGCTTTACAGCACATAGAGACTGATTTTACTGTTGTGGGTTCAGTAACACTTAAAAGAACTTTTAGTTAGATGTAGGACAAATGGTTACTCTGATGAACAGCTGACAACATAAACAGTGCATATACCTTCAGCCTCTTCTCTAGGAACTTTGCACCTCCTTCTGCTCCATAGGGATATTCATAAGGAAAGCTCCAATCTCTAACCAAAAACATAAGGGTCTGTATAAAAAATAAATAAATAAATGTAACACATGACTTTTGTTGAATTTAATCTTCTATGTACATACCAAAGAGATGCTAGCTAAAAAGATATGAATATGTAAGTCACTTAAACCAGGGAAAGCTGGCCAGGTAGTATCCACAGGAGATCAGTGTAGTCTGGAGCTTTCCCAAGTTCACAGTTAATGGAAAATGATGAGCCGCACCCAAATTCTTCTGTTTATCTGTCAGACATCTTTCACTGGTTGCACAGGAGCAGAACACACTCTTTCAGGTGTGTACTGTACCAGTGTTTCTCAACCTTTTTTCAGTCAAGGCACAATCTCACGTCACCCCATTCTAAAATGTAAAAACTAAAGTTATACATAATTTTTAGGCACATTGCCAAGGCACCCCTGAAAAAACCTGAAGGCACCCTGGTTGAAAAAGGCTGTAATATACACTCGTAATTTACCCAATTTCCACATAAGTGTATTCACTAACAAGATATTTGCATGCAGCTCACCACTTTCTACAACAATTAAATTACTATTTATTTCTGGATGTTTCTCTTAGGTGAGTAAGGTCACAAGACAGGAAGAAGGAGTAAATATCTCCAAGTATTGTATTGGCCGGCATTATACTTTACCAAACTGACTTTCCTAAAACACAGTTTCCAGGGCTGAGAAAGCATAAAACTGGCCATACGCAATCAAAATTCACCAGGTTCAGCAGAGACTGGCTGAATTTCAATCACTGTGTGGCTACCCCCACATGCAGGAAAACATGTGGTAGCCCCAGCTAATTGGCTTTGATTTTTGTTTTCATTGTGCAATACAGGTATAAGTAAAGAACATTAATTAAAACATTTTGATTACAAAATATGTATCAAATATCCTAATTTGCAATTTATATATTTTTGTCGATTTGACAAGAGTATAACAGGAAGGGTATTTAACCATTAGCCGCCCGGCCTATAGCCGTTTGGCGGCGGCAAAGGAAAAATGCTTCACCTTTCCGGGTGCACGCCATTTGGCGTGCTCCCGCACATGCGCGGTTGCAGAGCTGCGCAGCGGTGCGATCTGTCACCGGCCGTGTACCTCGGACACGGCCGATGACAGATCTGAGTACCGGCCCCCGTTGCCAGTACCATGTGACCTGCTGTGACCAATCACAGCAGGTCACATGACAGTTGTATACAATGGATGGCTTCATTCATGCCATCCATTGTATACTAGTGCCTAGCTGTGAATGGTCACAGCAGGTCACATGCACATGTCATGTGATTAGCTGTGGCCAAAATCACAGCTAAGCACAAAAACAAAACAAAACAAAACAAAACCCTGAATGAATCGATTTCATTCTGGTAAATGCTTGCTTATAGCAAAGTAATTCTTTGCTATAAGCAAATTGTGTAAAAAAAAAAAAAAAAAATACTGATCACTTCCCCAAATTAGTACAATGTTACTATGGTAACATTGTACTACTTTGGTCATAGTAAAATATGAAGAAAAAAAATCTTTAAAAAAAAAAAAAAATGTAATAAAAAATTAAAAATAATAATAAAAAAAGAAAATATATATATATTTTTTCATACTGTCACCAGTCAGTGTCCCTGTTCACCGCCATGCCAGTTATATGATGATGCTGTACTGCACTGGTGACAGTATGTAAAAAAAAAAATAGTGAAAATAATTTTAATTTTCCGAAAATATTATGACAAAAAAATACAACTTCAAAAAACGCGCCATGCCTCTTATGAAATACGTCGGACTGTCTACTTTGCAAAAAAGGGTCATTTGGGGGATATCTGTACTGTTCTGACATTCTTGGACCTCAAGAAATTAGATTGGCCGTCAGTTCTTCAGGATTGATCAATATTCAGATCTATACCATAGTTTGTGAACTCTATAACTTTCCTACAAACTAAAAAATACATCCTAATTTGGGTTATTTTCACCAAAGACATGTAGCAGAATACATCTCGGCCTAAATTTATGAAGAACAATTATTTATTTACAAACTTTTATAACAGAAACAAAGAAAAACTTGTTTTTTTTCAAAAGTTTCAGTCTTTTTTTGTTAATTTAGCAAAAAATAAAAACCCCAGCGGTGATTAAATACCACCAAAAGAAAGCTCTAGTTGTGTGAAGAAAATGATGCTAAAATTTTAGTTTGGGTACAATGTTGTATGACCGCGCAATTGTCATTCAAAGTGTGAGAGCGCTGAAATGTGAAAAAATGGCCTGGGCAGGAAGGTGTAAAATTGCCCGGTATTGAAATGGTTAAAAAGAAAAGTGCAACAAACAAAAACTTAAAATTTCCTTAAAAAGTAACTCCACTTTTGTTGAGAAAACATTTCCCTCTGAGTGATCTATGTAAATTGCAAAGATTTTATCAAACTTTATTTCAGATTGCTACCTTTTGTTACTCTAAAGAAATGTCTGTTTGTTCATCTGTGTCTATGTGCAAAGTGAACCTTAACGGGAGTGATTTTATAATTATCAATCCAATGCTGCACTTGTAGTGCTCTAATGAGGAAGGTGGCTGGGTCTGCATTCCCTTAGATGTGACTTTCCTTTTGGAGTATGTTACCAAAAATTACAATTTTGTTGCAGGGGATGCCCAAAATCTGACTTGCATCTTAGTGCAGATGTCTGGGAAACTCAGTAAGGTAAAAACACAAACAGGAAATTATATTTCTGGGGGACTTTCTGTAAACCATCTGTGTACAGAATGCCTCCAGGTTGCCATACTGCATTTCATTTTACAGAAAATTACAGTGCTGCAGATTTGAAAAGGAAGGGTGATTAGACACAGCACAAGCTGATCAGCAGGTCTTGGCCAATGATTAACGTCAGTAACCCGGTGATTGGCAAAGAGGATGACATGACAGAGCTCTGTGTATATAAACAATACAGAGCTCTGGCTTATCAGCGGGGATGTGCCAGGGAATAAATACTGGCTTATCCCCTAGTAAAAGTACACACACAAAGCACTGTTAGGCATATACTTAACCCTTTCATTTCCTCTAGATGTTAACACCTTCCCAACCAGTGTCATCAGCACAGTATCAGTATTAGCAATGATGACTGTATTAGTGTCACTGGTTTACAAAAAAGGTCAGTTAAGCCCCATATACACGTTGAGAATATCAGACAAATGATCGTTCATTTTTATTTGTTTTTTTGCATGCTAGTCTCATACGTCACATTAGAGGTTACTAAATTTATGAAAATTCTTGTAAGACATAATCAAAATGCAAAAGTGATGTAATGTATTTGTATTGTATTTTCGGATGAAAACTGTACTGGTTAAAAGGAAAATCGTATTATCAGGTATTGTGCAACAAAAATGTTCGTGCATGCCGAGTAATTGCAGACAATCGCAGTGTACCAACATTTTGATTATAATATAATCGCTTTGAAAGCAGCATTTTCTGCATGATTTTCTGATTGTGTGTACAGGGCTTTAGTGTCAGATTGCCTGCTGTACTATTACAGTCCCGCTACAAGTCGCTGATCGCCACCTTATTAAAATTCCAGTATATATCCCATAGTTTGTAGATGCTATATACACTTATTGGGATTTTTTTAACCAAAAATAAATAGCAGATTATACTTTGGCCAAAATCTAAGAGGAAATTTGATTCTTTTCTTTTTTTTTTTTTATTGGATATGTTTTATAGCAGACCGTAAAAAAAAATTTTTTTTCTCAATATTGTCGGTCTTTTTTCATTTATAGCGCAAAAAAAAAAAAAAAAAAAACCCCAGTGGCAATCAAATACTACCAAAAGAAAGCTTTATTTGTATGAAAAAAAATAAAAAATAAAATTTAATGTGGGTACAGTGTTGCATGACTGTACAATTGTCAGTTAAAGTAACGTAGTACAGTACAGCAAAAAATGGCCTGGTCAGGAAAACGGTAAAATCTTCTGGAGGGCAAGTGGTTAATAACATTCAATTACAATATGACTTGTGTCGCAACTGTATAGACTATATTATTGTTTATTATACTTTTCCTGAATGTCATGTCTATACACATGGTGCAGAGTAACATGCTAAATTATTATTATTATTATACAGGATTTATATAGCGCCAACAGTTTGTGCAGCACTTTACAAAATAAGGGAGACAGTACAATTACAATACATTTCAGTACAGAAGGAATAGGAGGGCCCTGCTCATGGAGCTTACAATCTAAAGAAAGCGGGAGGTGGTACAAAAGGTGATGTTCTGATGGAGGTGGCTCAAGTACAGTTCTTAGTTGGAGGTGGGGCAGGCTTCCCTGAATAAGTGAGTTTTCAAAAGATCGCCTAATGGCAGACAGGGTGGGGGCTAACGGGACATACTGCGGTAGAGAATTCCAGAGGATGGGAGAGGCTCTGGAGAAGTCCTGGAGGGGAGTGTGGGAGGAGGTGACGAGGGAGCTAGAGAGCAAGATGTCTTGGGAGAAGCGGAATGGGAGATTTGGACGATATCTATGGATGAAGTTGGTGTTGTAGCTAGGGGCAGTGTTGTGGATAGCTTTGTATGCTGTGGTTAGTATTTAAAATTTTATACGTTGGGTTAGTGGAAGCCCATGAAGGGATTGGCGGAGAGGGGCAGCAGTCACTGATCAGTTGGTAAGGTGTATGAGTCTAGCAGCAGCATTCATAATAGACTGAAGGGGGGATAACCTGAGTAATGGTAGACCAATGAGCAGGGAGTTGCAGTAATCAAGGTGGGATAAAACCAAGGCATGGATAAGTTGTTTTGTGGTGTCATTGGTCAGAAAGGGGCAGATTTTGGAAATGTTTTGGAGGTTGAGGCGGCAGGAATTAGCCAGTGATTGGATGTGGGGCCTAAAGGAGAGGTCAGAGTCTAGGATTACGCCTAGCACCCTGGCAAGAGGGGAAGGACTAATGGTTGTGCTGTTGATCTTAATGGTAAAGTCATGAGTGGGGAATCGAGGAGGAGGAGGAAATATTACAAGCTCGGTTTTGGAAAGATTGAATTGAAGGTAGTGGTGTGACATCCAT